ACAAGTTTACATTTTTATTGAAAGTTTAATTACTTTCGATCATTTTCAGCTTCTTTTCCTAATACAAGAATGACTGCGCGTTCACTTTCAGTGCAAATGAACTCATTTGACCTTTGACCCGGAATATCTCGCAAACGCCCCAGCGGCGGACTGATTACCACTCGGCATCGTATTCTACGCAAAATTTTACTCTAGAAAAGTTGGGTCTGGTTTTGTGCCCATTTGATGGACACCCCCCCCCCCCCCCGCGCTGAGCCTCCGGTCTAGTTTCCAACCCGTTGCAGGGATCCCAAATGACCCTTACCATCGACACAAACACACCAGTCTGGTCTAATTAATACTTCCACTTTCAAACGAATTCTTGTTGTTTAGCTGACGGTGCCCTAATCCTATAGAGTGACTATAGACAGACATCAATGATAGCATCTTGTGGAATCGGCGGGCGTAAACACTCGTGCCCATGACCGACGTGCATGAGTGCAACTTGGTGTAGCATTGTTTCATGTGTGGACAGTACACAGTTTCAAGTTACAAGGCTTAAATAGTGAAGTGGCTAGGGAATAGATTCGTCTTTTTCCCTTCATAATGCCTCGCTCGCCTTGACAATTTTCGAGTCGCATGTTCAACTGGCTTTTTTGCTCGATTTTAAGGCTCTTTTTCAACGATTTCCGAACGTTTACTTAGATGAAAATATCAGCCAAATAGCTCTTGGAATGGCTACAGATGCAAGGAAATGGCGGATAATTTTCTTGCCCCCCCCCCCCCAAAAAAACCCCCTCTCAGCGGCGTGCCCCGTCTCCGCGGTCAGTGCCCTCATTTTGCGCCCCCCCCCCCTTTCAAAATTCCTAGATCCGCCCCTGATAGTGCACCCTTTCATATACCGTGTTCAGGGGCACTTTACAAAGTGACAATGTAACCATATTAAAAAAAAAACAAAAAAATAAACAAAAAAAAAAACAACCAGCAAAATTATGGACATATTATCAGTGTGTATACTGTGTCAGTTAAAGCCTGTTTAAACATACCTTATGCAAGAGTTAAATCTGATTATTGCAAGTCTTTATTTAGGCTTCAGATGTCATAGAAATTATAAATTAGATCTTTATTTACACAACAAGCACAAAATCAACTCTGTAGACCCACGGATGGCTTGGGTTCAGCTTGGATTTAAACGGAATTTCGTTGACTGATTTAATTTTAAATGGCGCCGTGGGCGGAGATTAACCGTTACGTTGACGTCATACTCCCGGGTCGAGGCTAAATGAGTGTACGAAGCGAGGCCGCTGTTGAGCGATGCCTTAACAAATGACATCTAAACTATTTCAAGTGCAATAAACTAAACACAGATAATAACAAATTATACAATTCCTGGAGACCGTGTGATGACTAATACAGACGGACAGGTATTCTGTCTTAATAATATCAATAAAAATATTTTTATTTCCCCAATAGATTTATCATAATTGTATTATAATATTATGTCCTATATTCAATGGATTTAATGCATGCCCAAAATACAAGGAAGAATCAAAATTTACCCTCTCACTCATTTTGTCCAATTGTTATAAAAATCCAAAAAGGTAAAACACAAATTCCGATATGATGACAGCAGACAAAAACAGCAGAGATTATGTAGGTGGAGTTAACGCCTGTCAATCAAACGATCGGCCTTACTAAGAAACGATGAAGATGGAATTCAATCCCATTTCTAGTCAAAAATTACACTGGTGATAACTATGTTCAGAATAAAGTAATTTGATTGAAATTTTCAATATATTCTTCTTTCATCATCTATTTTTGAACTGTTATAGCAAGAATGGCTAATTCCTTATAAAAAATCTCCCCTTTTGTATCTTTAAATAAACGTGTTAAGTTGTTTATTAAAAGAATATAGAGATGTACACGATCTTATACTAAATGGAAGATTATTCCATAAAACAGGCAGTTGAAAACTAAAAGAGCCCCAACCATAAGCATAGAACTAGAATACTAACGTTAGTATTCTAGTTCTATGCCATAAGAGACAAATTAAACAGGTTTGGCCCTTAAAAGTAGTTTATCTTATGTAGTCTATGAGTGTTCGGCGCATCAGAATTTGTCGTCAGAATAGCCATCACAGCAGAATTTGTCGTCAGAATAGCCATCACAGCAGAATTTGTTTTCAGATTGGTTCCCACAACATTATTTTCTATTGGTTCCCACAACATTATTTTCTATAGGTTTGTCCCAAAACCAGGTTTTTCTTTAGAATATCAACCATATCAGGAGTTCCGTTAGATTATCCACCACAGTAAAATATTTCGTCAGAATAGCCATCACAGCAGAATTTTTCTTCAGAATATATATTACAGCAGAATTTGTTTTCAGCTTGGTCCTCACAATAGGACTGTGCCATCTATGGTCCTCACAGTAGAATTTTCTATTCAGCAGAGCAGGAAATTTCTGTAGATTATCCATCACAGCAGAATATTTTCATCACAATAGCCATCATAGCAGGATTTTTCGCCACAATAGCCAGGACAGCAGAATTTGTTTTCAGCTTGGTTCTAAGGGCAGGATTTTCTATAGATTGGTTTAAACAGCGGGATTTTTGTTTAGAATATCCATTATATCAGGAATTTCGTTAGATTATCCATCACAGCAGAATTATTCGACAGAATAACCACCACAGTAGAATTTTTCGTCAGAATAGCTATCACAGCAGAATTTTCTATAGATTGGTCGCAAAAGCAGGAATTGTGGTTTGATTATTCAGCAGAGCAGGAATTGTCGTTAGATTATCCACCACAGCAGAATAATTTCATCACAATAGCCATCATAGCAGAATTTTCGCCACAATAGCCATGACAGCAGAATTTGTTTTCAGCTTCGTTCTCACAGCAGGATTTTCTATAGATTGGTTTAAACAGCGGGATTTTTCTTAAGAATATCCATTATATCAGGAATTTCGTTAGAGTATCTATCACAGCAGAATTATTCGGCTGAATATCCACCACAGCAGAATTTTTCGTCAGAATAGCTATCACAGCAGAATTTTCTAAAGATTGGTCGCAAAAGCAGGAATTGTGGTTAGATTATTCAGCAGAGTAGGAATTGTCGTTAGATTATCCACCACAGCAGAATAATTTCATCACAATAGCCATGACAGCAGAATTTTCGCCACAATAGCCATGACAGCAGAATTTGTTTTCAGCTTCGTTCTCACAGCAGGATTTTCTATAGATTGCTTTAAACAGCAGGATTTTTCTTTAGATTATCCATCATGTCAGGAATTGTTGTTAGAGTATTCATCAGAGCAGGATTTTTGCTAGATTATCCATTACAGCAGAATATTTCGTCTAAATAGCCAAAACAGCAGAATTTGTTTTCAGATTGGTTCTCACGGCAGGATTTTCTTTAGAGTGGTCAAAACAGCAGGGTTTTTTTTCTTTAGATTATACACCACAGCCGGATTTTTCATTAGATTATATACCACAGTCAGTGGCGGCGCCAGGGGCGCCCCCCCCCCCCTAAATCTGGTCTGCCCCCAATAATTTTAGAAAATGAAAAAAAGTATTTGTGGTACGTTTCGTTAATCAATACCTTCTACGGTGAATAAATCCCACATCCCTACTCAGTCGTAGAATTGCATGTTGTAGAGCATTTCCTACGGTGAATTTTTCAAAATTTTATTGGGGAGGTGCCCTATACCCCCCACAAGGACTCGCTACTTTGGCGCTCATAAGGGAATTTCGTTGAGGTTCGCAAGTCCGTTCGTTTGACATTTTATTCTCTGGTCGGATAAACTAGTGACCAGGCGACGGACGGTATCTGGTCAGATCTATTTATCTCGACGACCGGTGCCTGACTAAATACTGTCAGACAACATTTCCGGCAGTCTATTTTTCAATATTTTCTGGGGGAGGTCCCCCATACCCTCCGTAAGGACTCCATACTTTGACGCTCGTGAGTAGGCTTCGTCGAGGTTCGCAAGTCCGTTCGTTTGACACTTTAACTCAACGATCAGTGCCTTAAATGCTGCCAGACTGCATTTCCGGCATCCTGTTTTTCAAAATTTTCTAGGGGAGCCCCCCCCCCCCACACACACCCCAAGTTGAAGCTCGTGCCTTTGCCCCCTTAACCTTGGACTTTGCCCCAGGTTTGCTCCTCCAACCACCGACGACTGGCGCCGCCACTGACCACAGCAGGATTTTTCTTTAGATTATTCATCCAAGAAGGAATTTTCGATTGGTCCCAACAGCACGAAATGTCGTTAGATTATTCATCTGAGCAGGAATTTTAGATAGCTTATCCATCACAGCAGAATTTTTCTCGTCAGAATAGCCACCACAGCAGAATTTATTTTCAGATTGGTTCTCATAGCAGGACTTTCTTAGGTTATGTTAGATTATCCACCACAGCTGTATTTTTCGTCAGAATAGCTATCATAGCAGAATTTATTTTCAGATTGGCTCTCACAACAGGATTTTCTATTGATTGGCGGAACAGGACACTTGGACTTTAAACTCCATTAATTCATATCCAGGTCGAACCTGATCGGTTGGTGTTACAGAAAAAATTCGCCTACACATTAAATGTTTCCTTCAGAGGAGCCACGGTGGCTCAATGTTCAACCCAGTGTTGACTGACGAAGATTATCATGATAATTATGATTTTCCGGTGTTCCCCTTGTGAATAGTTTAGGAGGGGGGGGGGGGCATGTACACGTGGGAATTTGAAATAAGAGTATTCCGCAGAGCTCCTGTTTGGTCAAAATTTCAAGCCCGGTTAGTACAAAAAAAAACTAGAACGTTAATCCCCATTTCATTTCTTTTCATCAGATTGGCCCCAAATGTGCAGCACTTCCCCATATTGCAGAAAACGTAGCCTTAATTTGTAAAAGAAAAGAGGCATTATAAAAAAAAAAGGTGATTGAAACATGTATAACTTTATTTTTTCTATTTGATCAACATACAATTTGCCTCTTGACAGCCAATATTTATTTTGTTCACCACAACAAATACTGAGGATTCTTTCAACAAAATGTTGCACATAAATTGTCGAGATTACAAATACAAAGTTGCAATTCTGGAGATATGGTAAATGTAACACTTCCTCTGGTATTTCAAATACAGAGATTTTCTTGAATCTTATCGTTAATAATTTTGTACAAAGAAATTCAACTAATTGGAATCCTAGGGCCTGAAAGAATAATGGTAAATATTCGTCTTTAATAAATGAATTTAGTCATAGTGTATGGAGCGGAATTTCCCCCATAATCTAACTCCTAACCTAGTTATGCGTATGCTAATATGCTTACTTCTATGCATATAACTTCTTACCAACACATGTTAGATTGGCTATTTACACATGTAAAAATGCTAATTTATATAACTTATTTTTTAATTATTGCAGTTAGAATTTGTATTTTGTTCTATTTCCATTATTACATTTAATTTATTGTAGTCTGTATAGTTTCGTTAACATTTTGACATTTCACAAATGTTTCGCGGTAAAGCCGTCATAATTCTAAGCTCATTATGGTAACAGATGGCGCTGTTTATTGTATGGAGGCTGATTAGGGACATGTAAAATCTCGCCCTTTTCATAACCCGGCAGATAAAAATCATAAAATATGTTATGTACAAAAGCAAACTGTTGTAGATATTTTTAAAATATATAAATAGGCTTCCCTGTCGTGCATTTTCCAATATACTGATACTGCTATATCGATTGATTTGGCATATTTTGTTTCTAAAAGAACCATAAAATATATAGAAAGAACTCATTACGTCATGCAGTGAATAAATAAATATATAGGTAATGATAAGTTTAGTGTATCTTTTCCCCGCAAATTTATGAAATATTTTTCGCACACAAGTAAAGCATTTTTGATATTTTTTAGCATTCTGTCGGATCAAGCCTCCAAATCATCGTGAGCCGCGGTGGCTCGGTTAGTATGTCCCTGACTCAGTCTCGGGTTTGCTCCCGGTGTTGGAAGAGAAATTCCTTCGGGTTTTTCGGCGTGATTTCCCCTTTTCAGTGGTGCAAGACGGGGTTCCTGGACGTTGGGATTTGAAATAAGAGTAGGCCGTAGCGCGGCTGTCCGTGCAAAATCACCTCACACTGCACACTTTATGGTGTATTCCCGTCTTGATTAGCACAGTTGATGCTGAACGACGGGACGTTAAACTCGATTTCATTTAATTTTCATTTAATTTAAAGATAAATTATGGGAGAATATATAAGCCCAAAGAGCTGACTAATGTAAAGAGAATTTGCTGAAAATTTCAGTTCCCCTCTGAACCGAGAATTTAGCAATTGAATTTGGGCCTAGCTTCAATCATCATTACTAAAGTCGGTACGAAAAAAAAACCATAATCTCGATTATCCATTTTTTGATTTAATCATGAATGGGCGTTAAGCAGCAGATCAGATCCTAATCCAGTAAACATCGCAGGCTAGCATTGACATCGACAGTTGATTATGATCTGGATAAGTTAATTAATGTCTAATTAATAATTTAGATAACATTTCAGACCTAAAGAAAGACGTGCAATAGGCAGATTCAGCTCTTGCATAATGTATGTTAAATTTCCAAATCGTCGGATTAGCCGCTTGAATTGATCTTATTAATCTCATTCCAAAGTTTGGTGTCATAACTAATTGGATAAAGGCCAAACGAATTTGGGTTGGTGTGTGTGTGGGGGGGGGGGGGCGCTTTGCTTTAATTTTATATCTGAATTATCATTTCCTGTTTCTCAATTCAATCTAAAATAAAACAAGATATTGTTTATAAACCAAAACAAACACACAAAATAACTTTGTTTTACTGGTGTATTTCTATATTACTTAAATATTATCAGAATAATTTACTTTTGTACGTAATATATTCTGTTTATCTTTAGAGAAAAAAATAGCCTATTACTTCTCTCAAAAATATCAAGAACGAATATTGCAAAAAAAAGAAGCTAAACAATCGATAAGGCCGTATTAGGGCAAATGCACGAAAAAGTAGCCTATTTATTCATCTGAAAAATATCTAGAGTAATTTGCTTTTGTACGTAAAATATTTTAGTAGTTTTGACAGAAAAATGTCGTCATGTCTGACGGGTAATGAAAAGGGCGAGATTTTACATGTCCCCAATGAGCCACCTTATAATAAACAGCGCCATCTGTTAGCATAATGTGCGTTAAAATTATGACTCCATTTTAACCCGTTATGATAAGTCATAATTCTAACTCTCATTATGGTAACAGGTGCCTTTTTATATAACCCAAAATCACGACAGAAAATTGTGCTATTTTTTTCTCTAAAAGAAAAAATAAAGTATTTTACGTGCAAAAGTAAATTATTCTAAGTTTTTAGAATGGGGTCAATAAGGGCGGTGAATCGTTCGCCCAATCCCTACATACTAACACAAAACCGGTGATTTGGAAATGAAATAAAGTTTAACGTCCTGCTGTTACGCACCTGCGACTGTGCTAATGAAGACGGGCATACGTCATGCAGTGTGCAAATTCTGGGGATTTTGTACGGACAGGGGCGCGATGGTCATCGCGTTCTCGTCCCATTAAGACAGTGTTTCTTGTCAGGCACTGACAGGTGGAAAGCACGCCGGAAAAAATGGGGAACTTTCTCTTCCAACTCCGGGAGCGAACCCGGGACCTTCTGTTAACCGAGCCAGTGACTTACTCACCGAGACACCGCGGCTCCCGATGATTTGGAAGCCTGGCCCGATATAGATTACTTCAATGATATCATACTTTATTTGTGTGCGTAAAGTATTTCATAATTTTGAGGGGAAGAGATAGGCTAAACTAAGCATGACCGATTTATATTGATTAATTCAATTTCATGCATGACGTTTATATTATTCTTTTAGAAAACAAATAGGCCAAAACAATCGACATTTAATTGTTTGTGAAAATGCACGATAAAATAGCCTATTTATTTATCGAAAATAGTTTGGAATAGTTTTTTTTTTGTACGTAAAATATTTGTATTATCTTTGACAAAAAATGTCGTCATGTCTGTCGGGTCAATTGTTCATGTTCCCAATGAGCCACTATACAATTGTAAACAGCGCCGTCTGTTACCAAAATGAGCTTAGAATTATGGCGCCTTTACGGCTTTACCGCTAAACATTTGTAAAATGTCAAAATGTTAACGAAGCTAAACTGCCAACAATAAATTAAAAGTATTCATGGAAATAGAGCAAAATACAAATTCTAACTGCAATATTTAAAAAAATAAGTCATATAAATTAGCATTTTTACATGTGTCAATTTAACAAGTTAGTAAGAAGTTACATGCATAGAAGTAAGCATATTAGCATACGCATAACTAGGTTAGGAGTTAGAATTATGGGGGAAATTCCGCTCCATAATAGTGGACATAAATTAACTAAAATTACAAATTACCACCACTACCACTACAAACTGAAGGCAGTTCTAGATGCAAGTTTTCAACACAATGTCATGAAGTTTCATAATTAATACACCTCCACTGGACACAAACAAGAAATTACCTTATTGTTGACAATGTTAAATCCGAAGCCTCTTTTCTGCTTTTCTTTTCTCAGGACTGCACGTCTAAAATGTTAACAATTGTTATTGTCGATATTATATACATGAAATAAACTTAAATAGGTTTTAATTTCCAATTGAGCTAATAAAAACAGGCAAACGCCATGCAATGAGCTACGAGGGAAATTTTGTCTCGACAGAGGTGCAATGGCCTACTCTTACAGTCAAGCGTTTTTAAATGTGCATACCAATGTGTACAAGGACCTGTTTTTTTTCTGCTATCCGAACGATGTCTATACTACCATGAACTTTCTCAGCCAATGCAGGAATCAAACACAGGATGTCCATGTCAGCGAACCAACACTAATTTACTCACTGAGACTTTGGGGCTCCCAATATTATAGAAATGAAAAGAGGTATAACGTTCTACTGTACTGCTCTGACTCAATCTGATTAAAATACAGATCTATATTTCGTTTCGTTTTTTAAACTTTCGATGGCCTACATGAAGCAATCTGTTTCACAGAGAATTACGAGTCTCGTATAATATCTCTGTCATAGATGACTGCCTTAACACGTGCTGTCACAGCACGCGGTGTGAATCATTGGCTGAATGGCGCGTGCATTGTTTACATAAGACATAACTGCTTCGGAGAGAATGCTGCATTTTAGTCATTTTAATACCCATTTACACTAAATCGGAAATAATTTTTAACTACAAATACGTCAAACGCCTTTATTTATTTTTCCAATATATACAAAAAATGTTTTAGAATTTAATTTGTCGCAGGAAAAAAGTTAATATTTCTAGTTCATTAAGCCGCATCAATGTCATCCTTATCAGTGATTGTCGCGGCCAAGCAAATATTCACTGCGGATCAGTGTGTACATGAAGATCTGATAGGTTATAGCGATAGGTCACGTCAGGGGTCAAAAGACCGACTTATGACCTTATGATGTCAGACATTTGATTAACCAATCAGCATTGATGTTACTAGTGGATTACCCACAGTTCCATGCAAAACACGCCTAAAGCTCGCCGTAACAGACCGTTTCGTTGGCTTATCTCTGACACCATTCAGAACACGAGTTAAATAACAACTCTTCCAGATCCAAGTGTGGTAAAGACCACTGATCTATATAATAACTAGATAACTCATTGGCTGAGATGTGTGAAGTCACCGGAAGTACCAATTCCGCCGCCATGTTACCACTCTCAAAACAGCACAAAACATTGGTTTCTACCGTTGACGTAGTTGTATTTACCTCAAGGTAAACTTCGATAATTAATACCGTTAGTTGTTCTTAAAATAATCATAAATTTTCAAAATTAATTACAAGTTATTCTGAATGAAATGTGCGATAGTTTATGAAAATAAAATAAACAAAAACGTGAAAATCACCGTTTACGTAGGCATGCCTTGGTCTTTCTTTTCATTCATAATCATAATCATAAATATGATCGCATGGATGGTAAATAGACGTAAATCAGTCCTATTATTTTAATGAAACTTTTCAAAACATAGAGGAAGGAAGGAGAAATGAATTCACGGGTGAAAAGAAATTCAAATATAAACAGATCGACTTTATACATTAAGCATTAAGGCCAAACATGCAGCTATTTATAGGCCTACCATAAGGCTATAACTACAGCAGTCATATTTATGTATTTTAAAATATAGTTCTTCAAGTTTTCTTTTCTTTTCCTTTTTTTATATATATATTTCTTCTTTTATATTTATTTATTTGCTATTGACCTTGATTTAAAGAAAAAAGAAATTGGACACGTATTTAGGCCTATAATAGCCTTTTTAAAAAAAATAATCACTACATCCTGGGCTTTTTTCCTCTAGAATTAACTATAAAATTACAGAATAGTAAAGAAGACAATGAGTTAAGGCTTAGCCTATAATAATATAATCCTATATGTATTTTTAAAGAATAAATTTGGACAGTGAATAAACAGTAAAGTATGAGAGGAAAATGGGATATAAGCAGGACTATGCAATGAGTAAGGGTCTTTTAAGAAGAAAATAGGATATAGGCCTAAGCTATGGAAGGTTGTTTTTTTTATCATACAATTACCTAAAGTATCTTTAAACTTTTCAAAAAACAAAATAGCAGCAGCAAAAAAAAAAAAAAAATAAAAAAATAAAAATAAAAAATTCTTGTTACATGCATGTACATGTTGATTATATTTCGTTAATTTTTATTTATTTCCCTTTTGTTTGTTTAAACATCAGTGAAAAAGAAGTAATAAAAGAAGCTAGACACATATCATATACACATAGTCTATAATTCTTTTATTATGTGAATAGCCTATATTTTTTTTATTCTGTCCAACATACCAAAGAAATGACTAACTGGACATCAAATCTTAGTATTTCCCCCTCTAAAATTGACTGTGAAATTACAGAAAAGTAAAGACGAAAATGGTATATAATGTAGGCCTATATATTTGTGAAAAAATAAATTTTGACTATTTTTTATGGGATATAGGCCCATAAAATATAGTTATATAATGTAATCGTATATTTTATTACAAATCAATTTGTGCTTTTATTCTCTCTGAAATTACCATTAAAAAACAGCATTGTAAATAGTAAAGAAGAAAATGTGATATAGGCCTATAATATAAGTAGTTATTTGTTTTAAAAAATAGGATATAGGCCAATACTATAAGTATTTTTAAAAAAAAAAAAATATGATATGGGCCTATAATATAAGTATTCTTTTTAAAAGAAAAATGGATATAGGCCTATGCAATGACAGATGTTTATTAATATAAAGACCCCACAATAAAAATAACTTATATATAGGCCTAAATATCTTTGAACTTTTCTAAAATTACTAGAAATCGGACGCAAATATAGGTCTATATGTGAATAGCCTTTTTTTTAAAATAAAAAAAAGTAAAAACTCAAAAATTACAGATTATACTGACCACAAGACGAAAGAAAAAAAATAACTGGACAATACATCATGGGGTTTTTTTCCTCTAAAATTAACTGTGAAAGTAAAACAAAAGTAAAAGAAGAAAATGGTGTAAGCCCTATATATTCCTAAAGGAAAAATTTGGACTGTTTTGTATTTAATTAACATTGAAATACAGAATTTTAAATAGTAAAGAATAATATGGGATACAGGCTTGTAAAATATAGTTATGTATATTTTTTTAAAAAAAACATGAATTTGTGCTATTTTCTTTGAAATTAACACTGAAAACACAGAATTGTCAATTGTAAAGGAGATAATGGGATACAGGCCTATAATGTAAGTAGTGTTTTTAAAGAATATGATATAGGGCTATAACATTAGTCGGGTTTTTTTTTAAAGAGGAAAATATGATATAGGCCCATGCAGTGAAATGTTTTTATTAAACAATATACAAATTTCCATAATTACAGTAGACTATGAAGAAAATATACGATCCCCCTGAAAAAATTAACTTCTATATCTTTAAACTTTTCTAAAAACGTGATTTTTCGTACAATCAGGGGCCATAATCCATGAAGTTACAGTCCGATACATGCCAATATCGAAAGGAACAAAGATCTTAGGGTGATAAACCTATATTTCAAGTTTCATTGAAATCGGATAAAAATTGTGACCTGTAGACTGTTCACAAATAATTGTGGACGGACGTCCAGACGGACGGACGGACGGACAGGGGCGACGACAATATACGTCTACATGAAAATGTGGGCGTATAAAAAACATGGGGTGGCATCTTGCAGTTACATTTTCGTCAGATGATTTTATATTTTCCAAACAATGACTGATTTAGTATGTATTATTAATAGTAATGGTAATGGTACAAAAGCCCATGCCTTACTCTATAATTTAGTATTTTCAATTGTATATAGAAATTGATAAATTCAGCGTTATAATCTGATTTACGGCAAACTGTATGGTTCGCCTCAAAACGTTTTATGGCCTTCAGCCGATATATTATAATGAGAATGTGCACTTTTAACTATTTTAAGAATACAATCAATGTTGTACCCTTGTGAATTTATTTTATATAAAAACGCCAACAATGTTTTAGACACAATATAACGTTCTGTTGTTAATGTTTTCGTCGAATTTGCTTGTAAACAAAGCGCACACTGATAGTGCAAATAAGAGACTATAAGCACAGAGTATTTTTAGTCTGTGCTATAAGTGCTTCTGGGTGTAGCAAGGCCAAGATGGCGCCCGGACGGTGGCTTCAAGCTACGTCATTGTTGATTGCGTCATGAGCTATTTAGTCATTAGATCAAGGAGTATTAATACTACTAGGTATAGATCATAGAAATATTTCTATAGTATAGATCAGTGAGTAAAGACAAGTAAACGAAATTTTGAACTATAAAAACGAAACGAAATAGGATCTGTGTTTTAACCAGAATGGCTCTGACTGGGCTAATGAAATTTTGCCCAGACAACGGCGCTAAGGTCTACTCTTATATCCAATTCCAACTGGCAAGGGAACTTTTACGTGCACGTCAATGTGTACACGAGACCTCGGTTATTCTTTCTATCCCAACGACTAGGCAGCTGTCCTTGCCAGGCCATATGTTCTGCACCACTCACTGACAAGGGGAAACCACGCCGGAAAATCAAGATGAATTTTCTTGGTCAACACCGGGAACAAACAACGGGCACTAAAATTTATTATTTTTAGTATGTAAGCTGAATTGTTGTCAAAGGTTAAAACCATTTAATTACGTACCAATTTCTACTTTGGCATTAGACTTTTCAATAGACTATCAGAGCATCATCCTGAAGAAAAAATCAAAATAGAACAAAATTAAAATGTAAATAAATGAAGCCTTATTTATAAAGATGCATTATGTTACTTAGACTAAAGCTAATTTTGCTTAATGCAGATCGTTACGTAGTAGTTATTAGCACACTTTCCGAGGTGTATCGGTGAATATCAGGACAGTTTTGGTCGAGGGGCTCAGCCGAGGCGGCTCCCGACCAAAACTGTCCCGATACACCGAGGAAAGGTGCTAATAAGTTACTTACATCACATTTCTATCGAGTATTGTGAAGCAAAATGTGAAAAATAGTATTTATTATCGAGTCGTTTCAACCGAAAAGTGACAAATACTTTCTGTTCTTTCATTATTTATCCCTTTCTGAGCCTCACGTTACCTTTCATGGTAGAATGATTTCGCAGTGGAGAGACGACCTGAGTAGTATTTACACCTGCGTCTCGCTATGATACTCTGAGCGTAAAACAATCACGTGTTTGTTTAGACCACATCGTCAAAACAATGTCTATGGCGTAGAGGACTGTGGTATTATTAAATGTAGTGTAAAGGAAATGCGAAACGTGGTCATTCCTGGTGAAAGTATGCATCGGCGGATGGTTCTTCCGTTGAAATTTATTTGTAATAAAGTTTATGACTTTCTAGGCGTTTTTTTTTCATCCTGCTTATTTTCAATGCCTGTGAAGTGTCCAGCAAGAGAACTGCGCCTTCTATCATCACAATTAATTAAAATAATTATTCAATATTCTAATTTATATATTTTGCATATTAATATAAATCAAACCAAATTATGAAATAGATGCCAATTGGTATGTATAATAATTGATTTTTGTAATATGTTGTTATGTTAATGTCATTGTATATGTTTTTGAACTGCCATGTAGTTCCCCCCCCCCCCCATTTTGTTTTGTTACTATGATTTTGACTAGTTGTTTCATGTAAATTGGTTAGAGCCTCGTTATCAATTGCGATCTGGGTCGGACTAAACGTCCGCTACATATTGCTTGATAGATATCTAAAACGGTATAAAAGTATCCGTGTATCAGAAATGATCAGTACTCTTTCTGTACATTTCTGATACACGGATACTTTTAAGCATGTATTGCAATTAAACAGGACAGTTTTATCAAAGGTTGCAAGTGGCAACGAGTAGAAGTGGGATGTAAATTTATTCATTTGCCAAGCCCATGGCATTAGCCTATCAAGTCCCTAGTCCCATCAGCCATGACCCCTGTCGATGATAATACAGTGCCAAATCACATTTGATATCTTGATAACATTACAAATTAGTTGAAAATAAAAATAAGTTGGGCTTTTAACTTTAACGCCTTATGGCCACCCTTCAAGTATCGGCATACCATACCATGGCATATTACTTATGAAGACCTACTCAGAAAAAAAATGTCAACATTTGTTACCAGGCCTAGATTTCGAAACCTCCAAAATAAAGTTTCTTCCATGATTTCTGCCCGAAAAGCCGACAGATTTACAATACGGACTGGACTACAAGTTTGGTAGTTGCAACTAAATGGAAATCACATTTTGACAAATGAAAAATGTAATTTAATTAGCAAAATGAAATGAAATGGGGTTTAACGTCCTACTGTTCTTCTCAGACTGGGATAATGAAGATGGGCATCCTACAGTGTGCAATGAGGGAAATTTTGCCCGAGCAGCGGCACTATGGCCTATATATATACTCTTAGGCTATTATATCGAATTCCGACTGCCAAGGGATCCTTTACGTGCACGCCAATGTATAGACGGGACCTAGGATTTTCGTCCTTTCCGGAAGACTAGACAGTTGTCCTTGTCAGGCCCTCCGTCCACCACCACTGACAAAGGGAAACCACGTCGGAAAATCACGATGAACTTTCTCGTCCAATGACCAATCATGCGTAATTTGGCAAAACATAAATAATAGGCCTACTTATCGATGCATTGAAATTCCTGATCTTTCGTGATATATTATTTGTGTCGTCGCGTATACTTCTGTCGCTTTAATATATTTCTCGGCTTCCTGATCGAATTAAACATCTTGTCCGACTTGTCTTTTGGCAAGTGCTATCGGATCGCCATTTCGCTATTTGATTGTCATGTGTAGAAAGCGACCTTCACCGATCATGTCAAGGCGTGGTTATGCTTTTTAATTCCCGCCTACAAATACGTTAGAATTTCTGCTCAACTAGCTATTGGTAGCTCCTCCCCTTTTTGGTATTTCGCCAGATACGATATAGCATCAACCCAAGATTGAGTTCACTGTGCCAGACCATAGCCAGACGAACGAGTCATTGAAGACTATAGTGCAGTTCACGTTATGTAGCCTACTGTTTAGTTATATTATTACCAAACAAATTCTGCATTACTTTTGACAGGTGAATATGTTACTTATTATTTTAAATATCTCTTACAGTAAAATGTTGGGTTATCTTCCGCCAAAAGAATTGAAATGAATTCGCCACGTGATCCGGCGAGGTGTGAAAAAACAAGACTGGAGGCTGAAAAAAAATTAATGTACGCGCACGCAGTAGATTTTTCAGACTGATCATACTGATGTCAGTGATTTGATAAGACATTATTGGTATTTAATATTAATACGCATTTTATGTTTTGAACAAACAAAAGTTTGATTTGTTTAGGACAAAACTATCGTAACATCTAAGATAGATTAAGAAAAGTAAGATGGAATGTTGTATAACACGACGTGGTTGTTGAGCACGAGGACGTGCGGTGTTGCCTGTTGGTTTGATTAGTGTTGCACGTGCAGGATTTATTGACAGTGTAACAGCAGTAACGGTAGACTAGAATATATCACTCTGTTCTCTAAAAGTTATCAATGGGGAAATTGTACCATTTATTTACTTTTCACTGTACTTATTTAGACTTCTAAATGTATTACTATTCGGGCTACGAATGCAAAATTCATTTATTTATAAATAAGCCTATATTATTTGATAAAGCTACATTTAAATAGCATAAAACTGTTTTCAGATTGAAGATATCTTAATTAGAAGCCAAGATATGAACATTTATGTTCGGTACATCGGGGTACTTTTTTGTCTAAAATTTTATATAGAGAAAATTAAAATACACTGAAAGGTCACAGGGGTCAATGACACAAAATTCCGGAATTAACAAACTATTTTATCGCAAACCAAAAAAACCTAAAAACTGAACAAATGTCATCATTCAACATATCAAACTGAAGCAAATCTAAACAGCAATTCAAAAATAACACTTTTGCACTTCTAAAACCATTACAGTAATAACAGACCAGACAAATATAACTTAGGATTAAAAACAAATTCAAAAAGTATCATGTTTAAAGGAGCTAAATCGCTAACATTTGGGACCTAGAAATTCACAAAAGTGGGTCGCAACGCATATAATACTGTAATATGAATGTATATAAACTGAATTACATTCAATGGTTTCCGTTTTTACTCCAATGTCAAATCAGTTATGTTCGGCGAAATAAGTCAGCAGTCTCAAGCGAGTGCAAATTTCTAGCGTCTAGTTATTCTAGTCTACATAACTCCATTTGATTTGGTGCAATGTGTCTAGCCTCGTCCCTCGAGTCTCTCAATACAACTGGGGCTGAAGCGCATTATGGTACACAATTCGTGTACCAATGTTAAAAAAATTATTTTATCTTAAATATCGGATATCAGAAGCTCATCTTTTCCCGGTAAGTTTACATCATCAATGTTGATTTAAATTGACCAATAATTCGTGTTTTCGATGTCGAAGATTTTGGATGATTTTGAGTTACGGACTTAGGTCCTTTAAAAGTATATTCTGTGATAGAAAGGTCATGCAATGTTCCATTAGCAATTTAGCAAAGGGAGGTAATCGTACAGAGTTCACTCCACTTAGAGTTTAGACCACAAAAGATCATCAGAAAGCTGAATATTTCTGAAAAATAACAAAAGACTTGAAACAATCATACAAAAGATGGAATTATATGTGTTAGCAATATGTAAACGGTATACATTTGCTGGACATGACAACTTTGCTTCGTGTTATTGCCAATGCTCTTGCCAAACACAGGTTTTGAGAGAAAAAACATACAAATTGCTCCTTTTATCGAAAGCTTGTAAACAGTCTTAAGACAAGAATGGGCCTAATTATGCATGAGGTTCGTCAAGTCCTGCATGTAGTCATGTACCTTAGATCAGCTTTTCACCTACATGTACTTTCAGTACATTGTAGTATTCTACCTTACGAAAGTTCATCATTGACATGCTGAATCGTTGTAGAATAATTATTGGAAGATTGCCAAGCTGGTATTACCATTTGATTTCCTGGTATTATATTGTACTTGTCTGCAAGAAAATTTGGCAGTGAGACATTTTGAATAGGAATTAGATTAGGTAATTAGATTTACCATTTGTCTTTAATAGTTTAAATAAGAATAAAAAATATTATAATCTGATCAACTTATATTACCTTAGAATAAATACAGTATCAATGAAATAAGGACGCTTAAAATAGGGTTCACGTAATGATTTTACTTGCTTCTATTGAGTAGTTTGAGAGACTCTAAATCACGCAGATGTAGAGAGGAAAAACACACAAATTTTGAATGTCTGCGTAGTTTTACGCAACTCGAAATTGATCCACTGTTGAGTTCGAATTTGTAAAGAATTGGACCAAAACTGTCCCTCGTACGCAAATGGTTTATCAAGGTTGTGAACCCTCTAGCGGTCACAATTTTGATCCGATTTTGATGAATTTTGAAATACATGTTTATAACACAAAATCTTGGTTCCTTTCGATATTCGTGCATATCGGATTTAAAAAAAACAACCTTTCAAATATATCTCTATTACACCGTAATGTCGGTTTAGCTCGTATGGCATGAAAATCGGCCCAAAACTGTCGGACAAAATGGCCTCCCCTCAGACGCAAATAGTGTAAATATGTGGTATATCAAGGTTGTGGTCCCTCTAGAGGCCACAATTTTGATCCGATTTTGATGAAACTTGAAATATATGTTTATAACCCAAAGATCTTGGTTCCTTTCCATATGGTTCCTGAATTATGGCCCTTGATTGTACGAAAAATCTCATTTTTAGCTTGTGTTCCCTGTGAAAATCGGACCAAAATGGTTGCCCCTCGTACACAAATAGTGTAAATATATGGTATGTCAGTTACCGCACTAGACATTCGTCAATTTGCCAAATATCAATAATTCTTTTTTGAATGAATTTTAGAAGGTATTTTCGAAAAACTTATAATTTTAATCTTAAAATTGTCTAGTTCAACACTTCTTTCGATTGACTCAATGTAGTGTCTATTTTTAGTACATTAATTGACTCTAGTCTCAATCTTGCAAGTGGCAAATTAGTCAATGGTTATGCATTTTTACTACCGTCATCCGCAAAGCACATTATTAACGAAACGGCAGATACAACTTCTACTTCTTCTAGAATATTACTGACGGCGACAATGTGAATCTGTTTGATGTGATGAGGAGTGTACGAGTGACACTTGTGTGACAGAATCTCATTTTTGGTTGCCTGCATCCTCGCAAATGTGAACTTTCGGAGAGTTTAAGGAATGAAATAAAACTCTTGTGCATTGAATAAATGCATATTCAATATTTATTTTTCATTAACAAACACATGAATAGAAATATAATATTTGGCTTCAAATTTCTGAATTAGCTAATAAAATTTTGATATTGCTAAAGGTTTTAAGAGTCTAGGGCGGTTACTGGTATATCAACAATCTAATAAGAATACAGATCTATATTTCGTTTCTTTTTATACTTTCGATGGTCTACACTACACGAAGCGGTCATAATTTTAAAAAACGTTTGAATATATCACTGTTACACCCTAAGGATGGTTGAGTTCAAATTTCGTAAAAATAGGACCAAAACTGACAGCCAAAATGGCCGCTCCTCGTACTCAAATAGTGTAAAAATATGGTATGTGAATGTTGTGGATCCTCTAGAGGTCACAATTTTCTTCTAATTTTGATGAAACTTGAAATGCATGTTTATAAACCCACAGATCTTGGTTTCTTTCGATATTTGCGCTTATCAGATCGTATCTTCCTGAATTATGGCCCTTGACTGTACAAAATTAGAGGTCACAGTTTTTATCCGTTACACACTAAGATCTTGGTTCCTTTTGATTATCGCGCATATCCGAACGTAACTTCCTGGATTATGACCCCTGATTGTTCGAAAAATCACATTTTTAGCTTGCAGATTATATAGAGGTCACAATTTCTTTTAGGATTTTAAAAACCGTTAAAATATCACCTTTCCACCATAATGATCGCATCTTCCTGAATTATGGCCCTTGACTGTACAAACTTAGAGGTCACAGTTTTTATCCGTTACACACTAAGGTCTTAGTTCCTGTTGATTATCGCGCATATCCGAACGTAACTTCCTGGATTATGACCCCTGATTGTTCGAAAAATCACATTTTTAGCTTGCAGATTCTCTAGAGGTCACAATTTTTTTTCGGATTTTAAAAACCGTTTAAATATCACCTTTCCACCATAATGAAGGTTGAATTCGAAATTCGGGAAAATTGAAATGGAACTGCCCAACAAAATGGCCGCTCTTTGTACGTAAATTGTGTAAAAGTATTTAATACAAAGGTTGTGACCCCTCTAAGAGGTCACAATTTTTATCCGATTTTGATGAAACTTGAAATGTATGTTCATAACCCGAAGATCTTGGTTCCTTTCAATATTCGCGCCTAACAGACCATATCTTCCTGGATTATGGCCCCTGATTGTACAAAAAAATCAATTTTTTTTAGCTCATTCTCTGTCCATCTCTTGCAAAATGTGGGTATATCTTGCATGGCAACCACTTGTTTCTATGTGTCTATGTGTGTTGCCTACAGGCCAAGAATTTAATGGGTCGTCTTTGAACTTGGAATATATATTCCTTATAGCCTAAGGATGACAACTGCATTTCCCACCCCCCAGGGGTAGAGCCACGCCCAATTTTTGTATTTATCGTCTATAACTTATAAGCTGCAATTCTGAATGGATCATCTTGGAACTTTGCATATCTATTCCTTACCGTAAAGACAGCAACTATTTACTATGGTGCATGCCCCAACCCTCTGGGGCAGTGTCACGCCCACTTTTTTGTTAATATTTTGTCTGTAAATTTGGCAAAACAAACCCAACGCTTAGCCTTCTTTGCCTCTTGTCATATTACAGTCATTTCATATTTCATTCTCTTCATTTTAAAAAGTACCATATCAATCAAAGTAGGAATGTGGACGTATATTGCAGTGTTAGCGATGCTCTTGTACTTTTTTTTTTTTTTTTAGCTTGTTCTCTATCCATCTCTTGCAAAAAGTGGGCGTATCAGGCCTGGCAACCGCTGGTCTTATTT